CAATAAACAGGGAAATAGATGTGGGAAGGAAATATAGTAAAATCGACACTGTGGCATCTGGGTGTGGCTGTATGTCATTTCTGTAATATTCTGGTCGCCTTTGCAGAAATACCTGTAATTAACTTACAAGTTAACAAGCACTTGACTCAAGGTGATGAGGGTGGACAGGCAGTTGAGGTAGATTGTAGAATCATTTCATCTGGAGGTATAGGCAGGTGGACAGGCAGTTGAGGTAGATTGTAGAATCATTTCATCTGGAGGTATTTCAAAGCTTAAACACTAATTTGGAGGCAAAGGGTGTCAATAGATGAACTGAGTGGCTGACAAGCTGCACAGAGCACAGACAGTTTCATGAGGGTTCCATGAGCTATGATTTGCTGCATGTTAACCTGCAAGAGTCCCCCTGTGCATTGTATGTATTTGTAATCTCAGGCTGAGTGCTGTCTTTCTGTCACATTCAAAACAGCTGGACTATAAGAAGCAATATGAAGCCAACAAAGCCTACTGGAAGTGGACACCTGACCGACCTGACTTCATCCAGGCTGCCAAGTCATCCTTACAGCAAAGTGATGTAAGACAGGAGACAAACATGCAGCCGTTTTGGATATGCACTGTCAGGGCACTTCTCCCTGACCCCTCGAATTTGAGGTCCAAGTAGAAGGAAGTTTGAAGGGAGAAGCAAGTTCATGAAACCAACCTGGCTGTTGAGCATGTTCCCCTGACAACTGGGCCCAGCATTGAGGGCTCGGAGACCTGAAGCTAGAGAGGGGTTGGCTGGGAGAGCTGAATCCTGGTGCTGATCCTGGCCCCTGGGCTAGAAGGGATGAATCTAGCATGCGGGTAGCAGTGAAGGGCCAAGAAGCCCCTCCCTTTACTTTGGGAATGATTATTCCCTTTTAAAGACCTCCCCCCATCTGGTTAAATCAATGACCTTTTGCTCTGCTGTCTTCTATCACAGTTTGAATATAAGCTGGACCGAGAGTTTCTCAAGGGCTGCAAGCTTTCTGTCACTGACGATAAGGACATGGTGCTGGCCCTCAGGAACTCCTTAATAGAAAGTGATGTAAGTATCCAGCCTTATACAGTGTCTACCCTGACTCAAAGCCATTATTTACAGCAATAGTCCCCAGAAATATTCAGGACAGGACAGAAGTCATTGCTGTAGGAGCTTGGCTGGGATCCTGACACATGGTCCTGCCCTCAATGGTATCAGCAATGTTGAGCCCAAGATTGTTCTTGGCTCATACTGCAACCAGCAGTTCACACACAGTACAGACTAGGAATTGGGAGGTGTGGCTGGATTCCGTCCCAGATCTTAAGTCTCTTTTCTGTGGGATCCTACATTTCCTACCATGTACTTTCCACATCTGTAAAGGAAGAGAGATCGTGTTTCCAGGCCTAATGGGAGTCAGATGGCTTATTTGAGAATGCTTTGAACTAAAAGGCATAGATGCACTGTGAAATTTCCATCCTTATTAAAACCCCAACTTGATAACTGTCAGGAAAAACCCATTGAATGTGCATCAAATCCTTGACTGTGTGCCTCGATGGTGTTATTCTCTCAGCTATTGTTGAGGGATTTGGGGGGGGCAATTGAAAATGTTCAAGATACTCAAAGAAAGTAAAGAAATGCCTCCCCCCTTTCCACTCCCTCAGCTGAAATACAAAGAGAAACACGTTAAGGAAAGAGGAACATGTCATGCTGTACCTGACACCCCGCAAATCCTCTTGGCAAAGACTGTCAGCAATCTGGTGTCTGAGGTAACCCACCCACAGTCCATATGCTTCACTTCCGTAGCAGGCTGAGGCTCCAAGTAGAGTCCTTAACAAGCTCTTTGTGGATTCCTGCAGAACAAGTACAAGGACCATGTCAAGAAGCACCTGGCCCAGGGCTCATACACAACACTGCCAGAGACCCGGGACACAGTTCATGTCAAGGCAGTGACCAAGCACGTCAGTGATGTAAGTGGCCAGCTGCAGAGCTCTTGATGGCAACTTTGAATCAGGTCAAAAACTGCCACCTTCTAGCTTACAAATGCTTCCTTTTATGTATCCGTACCCTTAACCTGAGTACTTGTATAAGAATCCTAAACTCTAGTTTTTAAAAGTGTATTGGTATCCCAATTGTGGCAATTGTGACAGATGTAGGCTTTGCTTCATAGCACATCTAGTAGTAGAAGACATAACTAATGTTAATGATGCCAATCAAGAAGGCCTCTGCTGTCATTAACTGTTTCAGAGCTAAGATCATTTTGTGCATCTCAGTAATCTCTGCTCACTGCATCCTGCTCTTATAGCCTATGACTCATATATTTTAAAGGTAAGAATTAGGAGGAAGCATGTATGCTTGAGTTTGGTTCTCTAAAGCTTGCCGGATGGTTCTGGTGTTGGTTCCAATAGAGAAAAGATGAGGAGGAAGTAGAATATGACCCAGAGATCAAAGGTCCAAGTGGCACCATGATGGGGATTTTCCTGGATATCTTCTCAGATTCTTCAACTAAGTCTTTATCTCACCTTCCTCTGCTCACATGAGTAATTCTGATACCATTTAGACAAATTACAAAAAGAAGTTTGTCAAAGAGAAAGGCAAGTCCAACTACTCCATCATGCAAGAGCCTCCAGAAGTGAAGCATGCCATGGAAGTGGCCAAGAAGCAGAGTGATGTAAGTTCCCCTCAGCATCCCATGAGGCTCACTTGATGCTGTGGATACCAAATGAGTGTGTGGTCCTGCTCTAGTGATTTCTCTATCTGGTGGTTTTAGAAGCACAGTGGTGGACATTGGCTTGCTTTTATTTACATATCTGTCATTTGTATTGGGTGAGTATGTTTTGAAGTTGTAAGCATTTCCCTTCCCCAATAAAGGTTGCTTATAAGAAAGATGCCAAAGAGAATCTGCATTATACCACAGTGGCTGATCGGCCAGACATCAAGAAGGCTACCCAGGCAGCCAAGCAGGCCAGTGAGGTAAGAGTGTCATTAAAATGTCCCTGGCACTCAATGGCTACTGTGAACAAGAAGAACAGGGTGTGTGCCACCATGACCACATTGCCCATTTCTGTTTTCTCTGACACAGGTGGAGTACAGAGCCAAGCACCGCAAGGAAGGCAGCCATGGGTTAAGTATGCTTGGCCGCCCAGACATTGAGATGGCCAAGAAGGCAGCCAAGCTGAGCAGCCAGGTAATGAAAAAGGGCAGTATGAGATTTTTAAAAACCATACAGGAAGAAGTGGTTCCCAAGCCTTACCCTCTCTGAGGAGTGGATGGGATGGGGGTAAGGTGGGGAGAGTGGGAGGAGGGGAAGGAGTGGGAACTGAGACTGGTACGTAAAATGAGAAAAGTTTAAATTAAAAAAAGTTAATAAAGAAAAGTTTAAAAAGCGTTTCCTAGAAAGAACAGTATCAATAACTAAAATGGACATGGGGTCTTAAGTTGCACTGTAGCACTTTGCAAAGTACTGAGACCTTGACTCATCTCCTGCTAACCAAACCAGGCTTTCCAATCTTCCACATCTCTGTTTATAGGTATGCACCTAGCTGCCTGTGTATTTAACTGCTCTCATGGAACAAAGAGAGCCTCTTCCCAGGCAGTAGAATTTATATCCAGGTCTGCTTTCTACTTGGGTTACCTATGAGAGACTTGGTGCTGTGTAGCAGTCATGAATTTCTAACTGTTAAAACCCAACTGTGTAAAAGAACTTTTATTCTTCCATTTGACACACTGCTATTAAGTGCCCCAGCTAGGCATCTCTGATTAGGGGTGAGCAAGTGTCATGGGGTACTTGTCTCCGTAGATAAATAATGGCAATCTGGTATGATGAGTGCTTGATCAAGGTACACACAGGGTGTTGGGGTGAATGCTTCATCTCAGTAGACTTCGTATTATTGAGAAGACAGACTCAGAAATGTGTTGACCAAAGCCAACTGCTATGTACTCCCTAATTTCTCTACAGTGCCTCCAAGTTTACACCAGTTTTCAAAGTTCATCCCAGGGAGCTGTAGTCTAACACCAGCTCTCTGACTTCAGGTCAAAAATACCTTCTTTCTCCTCCAGTTTGGAAATCCTGTCTTTACCTTCTTCACTGTCCATTATCTCCAAATATTTGTTTAAAGAAATAGGTTTGATATTCGTGTAATTGTTGTATTCCAACCTCCAGAAATACCAAACATGATATTATAAAGCAATAATATCAAGTTATAAAATAGGAAAACAAGTTGGAATTATTAAGACAAAAGGTTCAGATGACTTCAAACAACAAGTATGATTTTTAAGATCTTATATGTAAGTGACCCAGCCAAGGTTACCTGATAGGGCCAATAGGAAATGAATCTTAATCAGGCATGGATTACAGGGGTCATAGCAAGACTGAGGCTGTGACAAGTTTCTTGCAAGCCATCAGATTTTTTATACATTTATCAGAAATAATGGATGTTTTTTAGGATCAATACAATTGTAGTTGCCAGGATGCAATGACATTTGCAAGCCATACAGGGTATACAAGATTAATGTCTAAGACTAAATGTCCAGCCAAACATCTGTATGCCTCGTTGACTTCTAGGGAACACAGAGACACTAAATGCTTCACTGCCTGAGGAAGTGCCTCCGTTTCTCAGGAATTAAAAGGCACATAGTGCACCAGGAGCCATGAACTCTAACCTGATAAACCTATGCACATGCCTCTCAAGGAATCTAGAACAGAACAACTCCAAGAGTCCCCATACTTCTATTTAAATGTTCTATTCAATATTTTATTGTAAATTAATGGAATCATATAACCACTTAGATCAAAACATAAGATCAAGACCTTACAAACATAAAACATTCTTAATGTTTTTAAAATTTCCAAGTTATACAGTTATCAAATTATTTTGATGTTGAAACTTTGAAAAACTTACAATTTTGGAACATTGAGTGGCCTGTAAATCCTATGTAAATTCAAATCCTTTTGCTGCTTAGTATTGACTTACATTAGCAAGAGGTTGCTGTTGATGCCTCCAGATAATGCAATGAGCAAAGTCAATACTGTCCTACATCACTTGATTCTACCCCTGATTGTCTGTTGCCCTGTGCTGCTGTTGGCAGTATTCCCTTATACTCTTAAAACTACCCCATGGGGTAACAAATTGTTTGATCATTTGTAACACAGCCATTTTCACTACTATTTACATTTCCCTACCAGATGCTCAGGAATAATCTGGATGTTTGCATTTGTTGTTAGGTTAAATACCGAGAAAATTTTGACAAAGAGAAGGGTAAGACACCAAAATACAACCCAAAAGACAGCCAGCTCTACAAAACTATGAAAGATGCTAACAACCTTGCAAGTGAGGTATGTTTTTTAGTTGTGGTGAATTGTATAGCATACTACCGTTGGCCATTTTAATTGTATTTAAGGAGCATTAATCCTTCCACAGTGTTCTCCAATTACCACCACTATTTCCAAAGCCCTTTAATTACCCCCAAAGAAAACCATTAAGCAACCCTTACTTCCCTTAGCTCCTGGTATCCTCTTATGTCTGCATGATTCTGCCTAATTTACAAATGCCATATAAATGGACTTCTACAATGTCTGTATCTTACTTTATTTAGTGTAGCATTTCAAGGTTCCCACGATAGTGTGGCATTAATTAGCACTGCATTCCATTTTATGGCTGGGAAACTTTGCAGTATTCTAATATTCCAATATGCCACACTTCTGTTGATGATATCCATTTACCTAGTGATGGACTCGGGTCATTTCTGCTTTTTTGGCACTGTGCAGAGTGGTTTTCCCTCACAGCCATCCCCAGCATTCATTTCTCAGAGATATCTCTTCCTGTCATTTCCCTTAGTGCTGTTTTTCTGTTTTCTATTTATGTGATTGCCAGTTTTTCCTCCCTTACCACTAGGTTAAATATAAGGCTGACCTGAAGAAGCTGCACAAGCCTGTGACTGACATGAAGGAATCTCTGATTATGCATCATGTCCTGAATACAAGCCAGCTTGCCAGTTCTGTAAGCTCCGTCATTGGTTCTGGAAAGTATTCCTTTCAGCCATTTGCAGATCGTTTCCTCCTCTGAGCTCTAGGCCTCCTCTCCGATACTGATACACTACATTTACTACAAAATCCCTATTTGATGACATGCCTCCAAATGACATTAATCTACAATTGTGCATCAACTACGATGCCTCTTAGAATGTAAAACTGCCTCTATTTGGGTTGGGGATGTTTTTTTGCGAGGTTCGATGCTCAGGAGAAAAACAAATAACAACAACAACAAAGTTCTAGTCCTTGTAAGGATGTAAAAGAATCTTTTAAAACAGCCTCTCACTTTCAATGACGCCTACGTAGAAACAGCCACATCAGTGTTGTGTTTGCCTCTGGTATTAGAAACATGGAGCTCTACCTATCCAACCGTTGTAATCTTTTTCTTTGGGGCTCGGGGTCTCTATGTAGACCTGGCTGGCCTGGAGCTTGCAGTGTAAACCTGATTGGCTCTGGACACAGGCAGGCCTCTGCCACTGAGTACTGGGATTAAAGGCATGTACCATATGCCGGCCCTCAAACAGCTAAAAAGGAAAAACTGAGACATTGTGGAGCCTTCCCATTGATGTGTTTGTGTCGTTTCCCCCCAGTATCAGTACAAAAAGAACTATGAGAAGAGCAAAGGCCACTACCACACAATACCTGACAACCTGGAGCAGCTTCACCTCAAAGAAGCCACGGAGCTGCAGAGTATAGTAAGTCCATTCAGATGGCTTGCCCACAGCCAGTTTCCTTTCACCCACACTATCAATAAGCAGTATCAAGTCCACTTTAGGAATGAGGCTTTCAATAAGCATTATTTGAGAAAATACTCACGGGAACTGGGGCTTTGAATTTAGTAACATTTTGAGATTAGAGTATTAACAGTATTTGTATATAATAGAAAATATACATGCTGTACTGTTTGTTACTCAGGTTAGCAGGACTGGAAGCATGACAGTTAGCTTCCCAGAGAGACAAACCCTGTGCTGTAACCCTGATGTGCCCCTCAGTCTGTGTCCCAAGTCAGAAAAGACCAGTAGATGACAGGGAATTCAGGGTAGGTTTTCACTAGACACGTAACATGATCAGATCTAGCACTGGCAGAGGCTCTGGGTATTGTAATTTTTTTCCAAGGAAAAAAGAACTTACTATTAACATGGCCTTGCTAGCACAAAAATCACCATTATGGGTCCCCTCGGGGTAGTATCCAGAGGGCTAAGTTATTATAAATGCTCCCACATCCTGTGTAAAGCAGTGTGTGTCCTCTCCCAGTGTCCCATCACAACCAAGAGAGCTGAGCTGAGCAATGACATTAAGGTTGTGTGTGGTAGGGTCTTTTTGTCTTTCTGTCTCTGTCTCTCCCCTGTGAGACATTCTGTTTATATGACTCCCTAGCGTGAGGAGGAGGAGGAGGAGGTAATTTTATTTGATAATGTCGTTTAAGTGATTCAATCTTGTGAGGAGGAGGAGGAGGTAATTTTATTTGATAATGTCGTTTAAGTGATTCAGGCCAGCTGTAAAATAGTTTTCCTCTCCATGCCAATTTATAGTAAATAGTTAAATATAGAGTGACAACCAGGGAGAGGTTATTTGCTTATAAAGCCTCACTTATTTTCCATTCAGTTGAGACCACAGGTCTCTGATGACAGCTCTTATGAAAGAACTAGGGCTTTTAATCAGAAATATTTATTGTCAAAGCAGTCATATATCTATAGCAAATCTTGGCCAACCTCATATATGGGCAGTTTTCTCCAAGCACCATTTCTGTACGTCAGTATTTCTGTATGTCAGTATTTCTGTATGTCAGTATTTCTGTATGTCAGTATTTCTGTATGTCAGATTTTCTGCATGTCAGTATTTCTGTCAGCTGATTGTTGCCACTGCTTTTTTGTCACTAAATTAAATCTAAACATTGTAGATTGTACTTTTTAGACAGCATTGATTCTCATCCCCACCCTTACCCCATCTCCAGGTGTCAACTAAAAGTTCTTAGGTTTATAACACAACAGGAAAGTCTTTCAAATGGCAATGAGATAAGCCAACTGGACATAATTTGTCAAATGAAAGTCCTTTCCCTTGCTTAGTAGTGGCCCATTCCTATAATCCCAGTACTTGGGAAGCTGAAGCAAGAGGACCTTGAGTCCAAGGCTAGTCTATGATACATTGTGAGAACCTAACCTGTCTTGGAAAATATTAAGTAAATTGCTGTCCATAAATAAAGTTGGTCTAGGAATTGACAAGCAGAGAGATACTTAACAGACCTTCTCATCACTAGGTGAAATACAAAGAAAAATATGAAAAAGAACGAGGAAAGCCCATGCTTGACTTTGAGACTCCGACATATATTACTGCCAAAGAATCTCAGCAGATGCAGAGTGGGGTAAGTTCTATAGAAACACCACACAAGGACAGCACCATCAACCAGTGAACACTGGCTTATCCTGGGAACGTTTCCAGCCTCCAGTTACCCCAAAGGAGTAGGACATACAGCTTTGTGACCCAGGGTGCCTAAAATCTTGCTCACTGAAGAAATTCT